TCCTGGCCAGAGCCGCCGATCCACACGTACTCGACGAGGCTCTTGGGTTCCTTCGGGGGAAGCGTGACGAAGTGGCTCCTCAGCTTCGAGTCCGAGAAGAACGTAGCGCCACCGAACTGGCGAGAGAGCACCGAGGCGGTGGCCGTCCTGCTGGAGGCGGCAGTGGTGGCGGCCAAGTTGGAAGCGACGCGCGTAGAGGACCTCATAGTGATGTAGTTGTTGTGCGAGTGAGCTGGGCAGAGGTGTACAAACAAAGTGTCCAAGGCGAGCAGTCGCACGAGAACATCGCCAGCCCAAGAAAGGAGTAGAGGAGAAGAACCTCTTCCCGCAACAAGGAACATATGTCGACGGCAGCCGATTGTGCAGGATATGAAGGAGAAATGCTGAAATAAATCAAAAGAGAAAAGGCTAGCTGCGTGGGAAATTTACAAGTTGCATTTACAAGATGAAAGGGATATGTGCACAATTGGTACTACAGCTAGTGAGGGGAGGAAGGGGGTACTGGATCACCGCTTTGTGTGTCGGTGTTGCGACCGGTCATGGCTTCGAGATCGTTCGTCGTGTCTTGAATCTCTTGTGCCAGCGCTTCGACGTCGCGGATCAGCTCCATCTTTTCTTCATCCGCCCCTTCTCGAGTGCGCAGGAAGCTGGTCAGAGATCCATGAGCGTTGCGGCGCTGACGTTGGTGCACGCTTTTCTCAATCTTCTTCTGCACGGAAAGCGTCTTCTCTATCTTCACTTTGCTTCCAAATTCGTCAGCCAGCCGATCCATGGGGGTGAGAGCCACGTTGATGTTCATCGTAGCCTCCCTACATAGTCGCATCACCTGATGACAGGAGCTGAATGTTAGCAATAGCAATTAGCACCAACCCTCGTTCGCTTCAATTTGCCAGCAAGCACCTGTTGCAGTTTGTCTATGAGGTCCTTGCGAGCTTGCTCGTTCTCGCGGGTGAGGCGTGTGGCCCGTTCCTCGGCCTCTCGATGGAATCGATCTATACAGCCATCCCACAGCGGCTGCGCGAAAGTGGGCGACGACGGTCCCACCCCCGTTGCCGCCGCCGGTGGTGAGGGAGGCGAAAACGCATCTCCTGCCACCACCATCAGCTCAGCCCCCATCGCGTCGCCGCCATCCATCATTGCGCTGCTAATCTCGTCCTGTCTGTCTGTGCAACGACCTGTTCGCTGCTGCGGAATAGCGGAACTGCAACGACAGTCACGAGCCTTCGAGATATTTTTCCCGCCCTTTTCACCAGTACTTGGCAACGCGATAGATTCTACTTGTAAGCCTACATTGATGATCCTGTACAGGTGCGGTGAGGGGTTGGGCGGGGTTGCTATGTTGCTCGGAGGCGGCTTCAAGCGTGTTGTTGGGGGGGGGTCAGGTGCTGACGGCGGTGCCGGGCACGGGAGTGGGGATGGTGCTCGTCGACGGCGGCTGAGCCTCCGACACGCGGCGAAGCAGAGAGAGTGCGGTGCGGGCGTAGCTCTCCCGGGTGATGCCGTTGAGCACGCAGTCCACCTGCGGCTGCCGCACGAGCCACCCCAGGCAGAACTCCTCCAGCGGCACCTGGTCGCTCTCCGACACCGCCGCCGGCCGCAATTCTCTGCTGGCGCCGGTGCCCACCTCGTCGGCAGCAGCTGCCCCGCCATTCTCCTCCACCGCGCGGCGGGGCCTCCGGTATCCGATCCCGAGCTCCTCCACGAACTTCTCGGTTCGCATCGAGCAGTGGTGCCGCACCATCTCCTTGTACACGTCGAGGAACTGCTGCAGCAGCGTGGTGTCGCTTTCTACAATTGCCCCCGTGAGTCAGATGACGTCAGCACATGTGTGATGGTGATGGTGAGGGCGACGACGACTGACGTACCTTGTAGGAAGAGCGCGCGGATGGTCTGCTTCATGACGGGAATGATGTTCTGGGCGAGTGCGTGCTCGTAGTGGAAGGTGGAGCCGAACTCGGTCTGCATCTGGTCGAGCTCACGGATGAGGTTGACGATGGCCCACGTGTCCCCGCGGCTGCTGAAGTGCGCGATCACCTCGTCCCGCACCCGCTGGTAAGCCTCGGGCCTCGCGTAGGAAGCCAGCCTGTGAAGCCAACCAGCCCAGACGTCCAGTCAGCGTGAAGTTACAGCATTCGCGCACGAATCGCGATTCGTGCGGTACCTGAAGCTGCCCTGGGCCGTGAAGGCGTTAAGAGGGCGGTTGACCAGCACTCGCAACCCGTGGTCGTGAGCCCACTGGCCGCAGCCCTTCAGGCCCTCCTGCTCCAGGATGTTGGCCGGGAACTGTACGGTGGAGAAGGAGTGGGTCATGTTGCCCGCGGCCTGGGCGGCCTGGGCGGCCAGCTCGAGCAGCCCCTCGTAGGGCAGGAAGAACGGATCGGTCTCCTTGAGGCTGAACGAGTTGCTCGAGATGCCATAGCTGCGAATCCGGCCGCGGCCGGCCTCGTGCTCGAGCTCCTCAAAGGCCGACTTGATGCGCTCGAACATGCGCTGGCGGTGGAGCGCCACCTGGGCCTCGGGCGACTCGGTGGTGACGTTCTTGAGCAGGTAGTACTCGGGGTTGTGGAGAAGGTACACATCGATGTAGTCGGTCCCCAGTCGCTCGAGCGACTGGGCGATTTGGTCCCTGTGGCGGATTGGTTAGCGCCAATAAGCATTAGTTTACGCGCAACTACCATTGGCGGACTACCTGATGAAGTTGGGGTGAATGGAGTGGAGACAGTCGGTGGAGTAGGTGATGACGTCACTCTCGGGCACCCTGAACTCTCCGCTTTGGAACCGATGCAGGGTCTTGCCTGCAACGCCAACCCCAGTTAGCCGTCTGACTTCGTTACAAGCCACAGATGTTGCGACACCTTGGATGTAGCCCGCCTTGCTCACAATGACAACGTCCTGTCGAAGGAGCGGGCGCGGTAGGGCATCGACCTCCTCGGCCATGGTATGCATGACCACGGTGATGAGCCTCTCGGCATCCCCATCTGCACGTAGAGCGTCAGTGGAGCCTACTTCAACACAAAGGGGAGTGAATGAACATTGTTCAACTCACCCAGGAAGTTGGTCGAGGTGTCGATGACGTTGATGCCGCCCATGAGGCAGGTTCGCATAGCTGCTGCATGGCCAGGGACCTCGAGGCCAGTCCGGTAGGTGCCAAACCTGCCAACATCAAACTTGTGTAAGTAGAGGAAAGAAAGTAGAAGTAGGAGTAGAAGGAGAGAGCACCCTATCTTGGAGAAGGGTGGTAGCTTGCTGGCCATCTTCATGCTTCGAAAGAGAAAAAGAACGGCTACGTGCCCGAGGATGGGGGTGGGGACCTCTAACCGATAGACCTGACTTAACGGGCACTTGTTTGCCTGGCGAGTAGCGAGGGTTTGAAGACTAATGCCTCTGTCAAGTATTTACGTCGAGTTGGAGTCGTTCTTCTACTTGAGCTCCTAGTGTTGGCCGTGTGCTCAAAATGGCCCGGGCGGTTGGACCAGGCCTGAGGGAGGTGGTGCGCCTTTGCCGATGATGTCCGTCGAGTAGTTCTACCCAAGTTGACGAGGGGTGCTGAACCGAACCAGGGCGGGTCTGGGAGGTTGAGGCTGATGACGGCTGATGTCGTGATGCTCAATGGGTACGTGGTGTAGGCGAGGTGGGCTGCCCTTGCGAGGGTGTGTTGAACTTGTGTTTGCTGCGGTGCTCTTCTCTCAGGCCTGTCGCCCGCGGGTCCTCATCATCACGCGATGTCCCTGCCAAACGCCCACCACACAGCAACCAACCCGCGCTGTTGACTGCTCCGGTCGAGGGCAGTAGTACTGGAGAAAAGGGAGGAAGTGGGAGCCAATTTGAAACGATCGTCTGTGCTCCATCAGCGCAAGCTACCGACATTTCACCAGCTGTGCTGTATGGAGGTCGTGTGCCGTACCGCCTCATGTCCTTCGGAACACAAACACCGAACTCAACATGTTGTGGCCCTGATTCTCTTGGCTTCCCGCCACCTGCCGTGGCCAACCGGGAAAACTCCGAGAGACCCCCTCAATCAGGGAACGAATCCCGCCGGGGGCAGGGCTGCGTCCTTCTCGAGGAGGGTTCGGGTGACGACCACGCGAAGAGGTGGGTTTCGCTTCACGCCTTTCGGCTCTGGTGCGCGGCCAACTTGCCTTCAGGCCGTTACCCATTTTGATGGTCCCAACGGGCTATGTCGGCAATTCGGTTGTCGATGTCGACAGTTTGGTACTGTATTGGGTTGTGCGTACGGCTCATCTTCTTCCTCGTCTGTCAAACCGTGCTTTGCCGGCCACGTCTCGCCCTTCGCCGAACGACTGATCTGCTCCCAGCATCAGTCATCTTTGCCTATTTTCTTACATCGCAGTGAGATCGGCACGCGGTGAACCTACATCTCTTCATTCCGTCCATTTTTTACATTTAATCCAATTTCACTCTCAAGATGTTCGTCGATATTATCTTCGCCCTCTTCGTGATCGCCGCCGTTGGCTACTTCTTCTACTACTTCGTCCTGCCGCGACCCAGCACCATCCTCAAGGAATTGGCCGGCAATCGTCTTCGGATTGAGTTCGTGTCCCCGCCCATCCCCTCCACCCCGCTCCAGACCGTCTGGTTCAACATTTTGGTACCCTCTCCCCGCTTCAATCGAACCTCTACTCTTTTCTTTTGCGTAACGTTACTAGATCTGACGCTTTACTGTGCCAGTGCCGAATCTATTTTTTATTATTCTTTAACACGAAGCACTACACAAATCACTCAATCACTCAATCACAACACCTAGTTATAAGTGTAGCAAGCAAGTCATCTTGTCTTGTTTTTCAATTCCTTGTAACTGGTACCACGGAGTACCGGAACAATGTACTATGTTGTAATAATTAATTATAATAATGGTGTGATATTATGCTAATATGTTGGCCGGTTGCAGGGACTGCTGGACCGCGAGGGCTATGGCCAGAGCCTCGAGACCGCACTGCGGGAGCTGGGCCAGCTCTTCACCGCCGACCCCGACAGCGTCCGCGAGTTCCTCGCCCTCAAGGACGAGGAGGCCCTCACCAAGTTCCTCAAGTTCGTTGGTGCGCTTCCAGCCACCTTTCACTGCGATCGTCTACTTCATCATCACCAACATATGTGTGTGTTGTGTGTGTCGTGTGTGTTGGGTGTCGTGTGCGGCGTGCGGCGTGCAGGCTGCACCGCCTTTGAGTTGTCGAAGAAGAAGAGGGTCGAGCAGGACCTCAAGAACCTCGACGCCGTTCTGGCGTGCGTCCGCACCATCATCGCGACCGAGGTTCGTCGTCGCTGACTCGCCGCTGCCCGCTCCTGCCCTTTGTTGGTTGACATCTAAATGTCGCGTGTGCGTGTGCGTGTCGTGCAGGAGGGCAAGCAGGCTGTGGCGGACGTGAAGGACGCCCTGTACGACGTCTACCATGCCACCTTCTACTCGCCCGCCGCCACTCAGGCCGTTGCGTTCGCCATCCTGCGGGACATGCTCCACCACTCGGAGAAGGCCTACAAGGAGATTGTGGAGTCGATGGAGGACCTCATGTACAACCCCATCAAGGAGGAGTTCCTCCTCGCCCAGCTCTTCGAGCGCCTGGCCAACACCGACTCTGTGCCTCTTCTGGTACGTCGCACACGCCGCACGACACACACAGCGCGACACGTACCACATCAAAAGCATGCACGCACATGAAGCACGCGCGGCTCATCGACTCTTCGTGTCGCGCGCAGACTGCGGCTGTGAGCTTCGTCGACGCTCTGCTCAAGTCCCCGCACGCCGGCGAGTACTCGGCCATGTTCAGGCACCACTTCGAGGAGAGGGGCGTCCAGGAGAAGCTCCAGGTTTGCTTTTGTGTTTTGTTTCGTGTTTCCCCAATCGTCGGCGGCTCACGCCGTCGCGTGACTGTACATTTTGCAGACCATCAGTGGCCAGCACAGCGAGGTGCAGGCGCCCATTGACTCCCTGGTCGCCGATCTCTCCGAGGGCGACAAGGCCGAGCCCTCGTTCCACACCACTCCCCAGTACCCACTCCCCACCCCTATTTATCGATATTTCATTATATGAAACATATTGTCTCACACATATGTGTCGTGCGTGTCGTGCGTGTCGTGCGTGTCGTGCGTGTCGTGCGTGTCGTGCGTGTCGTGCGTGTCGTGCGATGCCAGTGATACGATGAGCAACTACAGCCACATGTTCAAGTCGCGCATCCGCTTCTTCTCCCGCGTGCTCGGCTGCCTCTACACCGTGCTCCCTGGCGTTCTGCCGGCCAAGATGAAGCCCATCTCAGATGAGGTCCGCATGGCTTCCATCATGCGCATGAAGGTACTGTTGGACCCACGCAACCACTCCCGCGCGTCGCACGCCACGTCGCACACGTGCATTCCAGATTCCAGCCTCAGCTGACACCGCTGGTGGTGACGATGACCTGCTGATGGTGGTGGTCGTTGCTACCGCAGAACCTGAGGGACAGCAAGCGCACGGGCAGCTTCACGCCCGAGGAGGTCCAGTCCATGAACCGCGAGATGTCCGCCCTCACCCTGGGCGTCGAGCCTGCCTTCTTCGACGAGTACGATCCTCCCCCATATATATTTCATATATAATTTATATATAGAAAGAAATATATCGACTGTATGTATATATTTATATAAAGGTAAATCGTGTTGTCTGACGATAAAATATGACGTGGCGGTGGCTCTGTGTGGACAGTATGATGAAGCGCGGCATGTTCTCGGAGACGCGCAGGTTCGTCGATCAAGCCGAGGCCATCGAGAACTGGAACCACGAGGAGCTCCTGCAGGCCGGCCGCAACGTGTGGACCTGCTTCGGCCTCCAGATGATCATCTACAACGAGGAGGTGCGGCTGCAGGACGCCTACGTGGGCTACTCCCTGCTCTACCCCTACACCGACAACTACCTCGACGACGAGACCATCCCCAAGGAGACCAAGCTCACCTTCCAGGTAACAACATTTTCATTCCATTCATATACATTGCGTCATATCTCGTATTTTTATAATCCATACATATATGAATATAATTTACATATGGCACATACGCATTCTCACGTTCGCCGCCGCTACGGGTTTGTGGTTGTTGTCGGTCGACAGAACCTGTTCACGCAGCGAATCGCTGGTCAGGACGTCAAGGCCCGCTCGGCGCTCGAGCAGAAGATCTGGGACATGGTGTCCCTCGTCGAGAGTACGTGTCGACACACGCACGACCGCACACGCACGACCGCACACGCACACGTGGCTGATTTTGGTTCGCGCGTGTGACAGATGTGTACGACAGGACCAAGTTCCCCGATGCGTTCAACTCGATGATCTCCATCAACGAAGCCCAGACCCGCAGTCTCGCCCAGCACAGCAAGATCTCCCTCTCCGAGGAGACCCTCACCGTACGCTCTCCCCTTGCACACAACGCACCACGACACACGGCATCGCAAGCACGCACGCACATGGCACACATGGCGCCACTCACAACGCTGTCACTGGTTCGGTTCCGTTTCGTGCAGGACATCACGATGGAGAAGGGCGGTACGTCGGTGATCGCCGATGGCTACCTCGTTCACGGTGTGATGACCGAGGAGGAGGCGCTCTTCGCCTTCGGCTTCGGCGTGGTATGAATCCTTCTCCTCCAAATCCCCATCGACGCGCAAACAACGCCTAACCACACCACAAACACACACACAACACACACACACACACACACACACACACACACACAGTGCCTGCAATTGGTCGACGATTTGCAGGACACCCTCAAGGACACTGAGGTCAACCACCAGACGCTCTTCACCTATGGCTGGACCAGGAAGCAGTCCGGTATGCACCAGCTATCCATTTTTCATTTCGTTGACAACTTTCGTTTTGCGTTTCGTTTCGTTTTCGTTTTGTGTTTGGCTGACGACTGGTCGGTGTGGTGGCGTGGCGTGGCGTGGCGTGCAGCTGACGTGAAGGCCTACAAGGCGTTCCAGCTGCTGTACCTGTTCATCGATCCCGACCACTACGACATCGACGAAAAGGGAAGCGACCTGCGCGGCGCGCTGCTCAAGATGACGCACACCATCATGCTCAAGGCCATCGCCAAGTACTGCTACATCTTCACCGAAGCGTTTGTCGAAGCCTTGGCCCAGTTCGCCCCCATCCCCATCCAGGTGCGCACCATTTCTTTCTTTCTTTCTTTCTATGTTTCTCTTCTTTCTTTGCACTTGTGCTGGTCATCACTGTTTTCTTCGTGTCGTGTCGTGTCGTGTTTCGTGGATGAATGCAGCATCTCCAACGTGTGAACAACATGGCGCGGATGCTGCAAATGGTGAGGAACAACCAAATCTAGATCTACACGAAGGAACGATGATCGCCGGACTCGGCCACACCAAGCAGTTCCCCCTCTTTCGTCTTCTCCCTCTCTTCTTTTTTTGCCTTTTATTCTTATTTATTATGGCTCCCCACGCACCTATTTTGTACCTCTCTCCGCCCAAACATATTTCACTCCAACTGTTTGCAGCACCAGTGAGGGTAATGATTGGGCCACGGCAAGTTGTTGTGACCAACAAGGTTCTACTTACGCTCGCCAAATCAGTAGCCGCACCGGCAAGTGGACTTCGCGAACAAGACCGCACCAGACATCAACAAGAAGGAATCTAGGCCTTCCACGAGGCCGCCAACCCGACCAGCGAAGGCCAAGCGAAGAAGAAGAGCGCCAAGAAGAAGAGTAGCAAGAACCAGAAGATCGACAAGACCGGCTTTATCGAAGTATTTTGTGCGCTTGAGAAGGCGACCCCGACATCTCCCTCCTACTGATCGACGGGGCAGTCAGAAACACACTCTTCGCCACCCTCAGATGGCTATTGGCAGATTGGTGCACAGCTACTACACTCGCCTGTTGGTGAGAGTGCGAGAAAGAACAGTGCACAACTTCGTGTAACAAGGAATGGCGTTGCGCTTCAGCACGCCCATCACCATATGGCTGGATTGTGCTGCGGCAACTGTAGCGGACCAGTGCCTGGCGTGAAAGAAAACAACGATCACACGCGAGATGGGACGTGGACTGCACTGGCGAAGTCGAAGTGCGATGGCATGGCTTGCGAGGAGATAGGCCTGGCAAATTCAAAGCAGGTGTCGGTGCGACTCTCCCGGCGCCCTACGCACCCAAGCTGGGGTTACGAACTGCTGGGTAACGGTAGGTCTGCGGACAGAAACGGCCAATAGGGAAATAGCTCGTATCCACGGCAGTGGAGGTCGCCGCGTGGCAGAGCCGTAAACCGAGAGAGCATCAGCGAACCGGAAGAGAACCAGCTGTCGATGGTGTTCGCCCGTAAACGAGGAGACACACCCGCGGCTCAAACCAAGCCGGCCATAAAAGCCAACGCATACCCTTCTTTTTGTTCTCTCACCCCTGTACCACTACCCCACTACCCCACACTATCTAAATTATGGCGCGCTCCGCCCTCTTCGGTGCCGTCGTCCTGCTGGCGCTGCTCGCCGTCTACGCCACGGCCTCGCCGTCTACGCCCGTGCTGGTGGTCCCCACCGAGTCCGGTAACATCCAGGGCTTCGTACAGAACGACCTGGCCCGCGCCTTCCTCGGTATTCCCTTCGCCGACCCGCCGCAGCGCTTCGGCGTGGCCGCGCCCGCGTCGCCCTGGAGCGGCGTCTACAACGCGACCGCGTTCCCCAAGCCGTGCATCCAGTCGTCGACGGCCGGCGTGGAGGACTGCCTCTACCTCAACGTGTTCACCCCCAAGAACGCCAAGGCCGGCGACAAGCTGCCCGTCATGGTGTGGATCCACGGTGGTCGCTACTGGACCGGCCAGACCGACCAGTACCAGGGCCAGTGGCTCTCGGGCAACGGCAACGTCGTCCTTGTCACCATCCAGGTACCGAGCTCTCTCTTTGCTTCAGTTCAAATTTTTTTATTTGTCCGTCGTGTTCGTTCTTTCCTCCTCTTTGCCCCTTTCGTTCTTCGTTC